GACAGGGTTTCTCTGTAGCTTTTGTGCCTGTCCTGGAACTAGCTCTTGTAGACCAGGCTGGCCTTGAACTCCCAGAGATCTGCCTGCCACTGCCTCCCGAGTGCTGGGATTAAAGGTGTGCACCACCACTGCCTGGCTCTTTTTCTTAACAGAGTCCTTTTATTTTTATTTTACTAATTGTTTGTGTGTGTGTGTGTGCGTTTGTATGGGTGTATATATGAACATGTATGTTCAAGGATGCCCGTGGAAGTCAGGAGATGGCATTGGATGCCTTGGAACTGAATTACAGGCATTTGTGAGCAACCCGAAGTGGCTGCTGCCATCCGAGCTACCGTCCCAGGACCAAGCAAGAAGTGCGTTTAACTGCGGCAGTCATTTCTCAAGGCCAAAATATCTTTAAAAATCTTAATAAAGTGCAATTTACTTGTTTTATTCTTTCATTCAGATGTCCAAACAAAAGACAACCCCCAGTTGCTGCCCTGTGTGTTTGGGGGCGGGGTGGGTGGGCACTGTTTCTAGAAACAGAATGCCAGGCATGTGTCCGGGAGGTCTGGTGGAATGTCAACCAGAAGTGGGCCTTATGTAAGGCCCTTTCTGTTTTCTAGATAAGATCTTTTTAAGTTAAAAGTATTTATTTTTGATTATGTATAGGCATGTTTCTATGTATGCCCACAGAAGCCAGAAGTGTGGGACCCCCTGGAGCTGGAATTACAAGTTGGGTTGTGAAAGGCCTAGGTGGGGACTGGGAAGCAAGCCCCATCGGCTGCAAGAGCAGAGAGTGCTCTTAACAGCAGAGCCGTCTCTCCAGCACCAAGGGTATGGAGTTTTAGATATCTTCGGAAGCCTAGCAGAGACAATACAAATAGTTCCCAGTCCCTCCTGTTCACTTCCACAGCGCTGGTCCAGGGCTGCACTCCCCCCCTGGCTCTCCCCTAACTCAAGGGCATATCCTCCAGGCCAAGTTTTGAGGTTCTGCCTCTTCCAGCTGCACCCCCCTCCGCCCCCGTCACCATGTCATCTGGAGCTGTCACATCTTGGTTCTCCCCGCTAGGCTTCAAGACTCACAGGCTCTGTGTTTTATGACCTCGTCACTTTGGAGCTGTGCTGGCCAGGTATTTTGTAGAATGTCCCTCGACTGGGATTTGTGTGACAGTTCTCTCAGGCTTCTACTAGTCTGACACCTTAAAAAAAAATGTGTGTGCCCGTGTGCGTGTGTGTGCCCGTGTGTGTGTGCCCGTGTGTGTGTGCCTGTGTGTGTGCCCGTGTGTGTGTGTGTGCCCGTGTGTGTGTTGTATATACCACAGCATGTATGTGAAGGGCGGAGCTGATCTGCAGGAGTACGTGTGTGTATGCGCACGTGTGTGTGTGTGTGTGTGTGTGTGTGTGTGTGTACCACAGCATGCATGTAAAGGGCTGAGCTGATATCCAGGAGGTGACCCTCTCTCTCCACTATGTGGGTCCTTGGATCTAAATCAAGTTGTCATAAGGTGCTGTGGCAGAGCCTTTACCCACTGAGCCATATTGCCTGCCTCTGACATCTTACTTTTATTTATTATTTCATTTTTTATTTTTTCTATGAGTGTTTTGCCTGAATGTATGAACGTTCATTGCATGCATGTGTGTTGTCTTTGGAGATCAAAAGAAGGCATTAGATTCCCTTGACTAGAGTTACAGATTGTTGTGAGCTGCCGTGTGATTACTGGGGACAAAACCCGTGTCCTCTTTAAGAGCAGCAAGTTCTCTTAACCTCTGGGACATCTCTCCTGCTTCCTGGTATGTTTTTTTAAAAAGCTTCATTTCAGACCTCTGACATGGGATCTTGGTGTCCTTCAACCCACAGACTTGATGGTCCCTGGGTGGCAGACATGGATGCCCCGCTCACACTTCCTGTCCTCTGGCCTGGCCAGGCTGAGTCTGAGGTGGGCACAGGAGGTGCCAATCAGAAACTCTGTCACTTTGTTGCATGGTTAATGAGAGACTAAGCGTGCCCTGCAGAGATAAGCAGTCCCGCTGGATTCTGCACCACAGATAATGAGCCAGAGGACACGAGACTGGGTGCAGCTGGTGCTGGAGGCATTTGCCACTCATGCGCTGTGTGGGAGGCTGTCCACTCGTGCCCAAGCATCTCCTGAATCTTCTCTAGGATGACAGATGTCAATACTCTTGTCACAACTCCTGGGTCCTGGTGGGCTAACGGCTGGCTACCCCTTGCCAAGCACTCCTCCCAGGCCATGCCCCTCCTGCTCATGGCAACCCCTTTCTCTTCCTCCTCCTCCTCGGGCAGGCGGCAGGGCCAAGGCTCACACGGTTAAACCGATTTTCTCCTGCTACCATGGTGGTGGGTGCACTGGCTTGTCTGTCAGAGTGCTGGTTTGAAAGGGTGTGCACCCAAGGGAGCTTCCAGCCACAAGCCAGCAAAGGCAGTCCATTCTCCCAGACCATGGGAACCTTTCCTGAGTGCCCTGACTCGGCTTGTGCTTCAGTCCTGACCTTTTCCTGAGGAGAATCTGTGGCTGGTCCTGCTGGGGAACTGGCTTTAGGTGTTCCTGGGGATTCGTGGCCGGGGAGTTTACCTGTGGTTTCAAGAAGGCATTTTGTAAGTTATCCTAAGTCCACCGTATAATGCGCTCGATGTAACTCCTGTTTCCCAGCATTGGGTCTGGAGCTGGGGACATCAGGCTGGCGAGGCAAGTGTCCTCCCACTTAGCTGCACCCTCAACCTTTGATGTAGTTATTTAAAACACTTTTTCTTTTCTAAATATTTAATGATATGTTTGTGAATTTGGGGACCAGAAGAGGATGTTGGGTCCCTTGGAGCTGGAATTACAGGCAAGTGTGAGTCACTCAGTTTGGGTACTGGGAACCTAACTCTGGTCCTTTGAAAGAGCAGGAAGTGCTCTTAACCACTAAGACACTACTCCAGACTTTTGTTCTCATTCTTCAGGGGAAAAACCTATTATAGAAGTCATTTTACATGATGTATATGTCAAAAACTAAGTCTAGACATAATTATGACCGGGGTTTTGTTCATCAAAACACTGTCTTTGGATGGAGACATTATTAGTAATGTCTGGTTTATTCTCTGTGCTCCCAGTTCCCCAAATGGAGCATATATTACTTTTTTTCAGATGGAAAGAGGAGACTACAGTGTATATCCAGCAATTCTTGGGAAATCCTTCCTGGGTACGCCTCTCCTTGTCCCTATGATCCTCTTACAGGGTCATGGAGCACTTCCAGAGTGTTCACCTCTGCTATCGTGGCCCTGGAATACTTGTACGTCTCCAACGATCCTGGTGAATGAGGCTAGAGGAACGGGGACTCTGAGTCTCTCAGAACACCCCACGAGTCTTCCAGGACACCCTCGAGCCTCCAGGACACACGGTGAGTCTCCCAGAATACCCTGCGAGCCACCCTGAACCCATGGGCACAGTGTGCCTGCTAGGAGATCCTGCCAAGCTGTTCTCATTGGCTTCCTACCACTCAAAGGCATCGCGGAACACTCATCACCTCCCGTGTGCCTCAATCTACCTAGGAGACTATGGGGTGGCTAGGAAACTACCCACAGCTGTGTGGCATCGGCTTCCCTGCGGCAAGGAATCTGTCATCTCTTTTGTCAGCATCTGGCCTTTTTCTTTCAGTGACAGCACCTGGGAGGCAGGAGGCACATGGATCTGAGCACCTTGGCTATGCTGACTTTCACTGTCTATGTAACTGACAAGCCATGGGACTCTGCCAGCCTTGTCTGAACACTTCTCCAGGTCATATTGCATGACTCACATCTTCTGTCCAGAGCCAAAGTCCCTTGGGCACCTGCTGAAGGCCTCGCTCCCAGAACTCACTAGGAACAGTTTTGACCCAGAGTCCCAACAAAAGCCAGGGTCATTGTGGACATACATGGAAACCAATTACATTCTCATCTCCCCTAACTTCTCCCTGATATTAATCAATGACATCAACAGTCCCTGTGGCTTTGTTAACAAAAAAAAAAAACCATACACATTGTCATATCATTGTGGCTGGTGCAGAGATACTGAAATACTGTGTTCATTGCGACTCTGAAATCATGGTAAATGCTGACTATACTTCACTGACAATCATACATATCTACAAAAGAATATGCATATTTTATTACAAAGATTTCTCTTAAAATTATTTTGATAGCTACATTTGAGACTTTAATTTTCTTTACTTTCTTGTGTATCTAATTTTAATGAACTGTTTTTTATTTTACTGTAATATGGTCACTGGTAACATATGAATTTATTGTTTTTGAAATTGTTATTTATCTACTTATTGCTCTGTGTGTGTGTGTGAGAGAGAGAGAGATCAGAGAGAAAGAGAAAGAGAGAGAGAAAGAGAGAGAGAGAGAGAGAGAGAGAGAGAGAGAGAGAGAACAACTTCTGGACATTAGTTTTCTTCTCACACTATGTGGGTTCTAGGAATCAAAAATCATTCCCCATACTATCCCCCATTTATTCTCATGCCACGTACACGCACCACCACATGTATATTTAAATCTAGGTTGCACATATGAGAAACACATGCAGTGTTTATCTTCCCAAGTCTCCTTTACTGAGCAATTATCTCTAGCTCCATCCATCTGCCTACAAAGGTGACGATTTTATTCCTCTTGATGGCAACTAGAACTCCACTATACGTTACCACATTTTGTCCTCTCATCTGCTGATGGAAACCTGCCCTGGCTGTTATGAGCATGCAGCCTTCCCTGGCTGTTGTGAGCATGCAGCCTGCCCTGGCTATTGTGAGCATGCAGCTTTCCATGGCTGTTGTGAGCATGCAGCCTGCCCTGACTATTGTGAGCATGCAGCTTGCCTTGGCTGTTGTGAGCATGCAGCCTGCCCTGGCTGTTGTGAGCATGCAGCCTGCCCTGACTGTTGTGAGCATGCAGCCTGCCCTGGCTGTTGTGAGCATGCAGCTTTCCATGGCTGCTGTGAGCACGCAGCCTGCCCTAGCTGTTGTGAGCATGCAGCCTGCCCTGGCTGTTGTGAACATGCAGCAGTAAGAAGGACTGTGCACACACTTATGCCGTGTGCCTTGATTCCTTCAGCTACATAGCAAGGAGCGGCAAAGCTGGGTAATATTGTTCTAGCTTCTGTTATTGAGGAACCATAATACTGATTTCCATAATACAGGGAAAAATTCTTTTTGAGATGAGGTCTTACCCTTGTGTGGTCCAAGCTGGTCATGAACTCACACTCTGCTTGCCTTTACCTCCCAAGTGCTGTGCCTGCAGGGGTGCTCCACCATGGCCAGTAGTAATGCGCCCTCAGTGCTTGGCTGGGTGTCCTTTTCTGCCTCAATGATCCATTGTTCTTAAAGTGAGGGTTGAGCCTGGGAGACACTCTCTAAAGGTGTTGTGACACTGTGACCTCCTCACTTCCACCCTACCATACCCAAGGGTTGCATGGGGACAAACAGGAAGCTGAGATGCGACTTAGAAGGTTATTTTAGCCTTCATGGAATCACAGAGACTTTCCAGGGATTTGTCTGGTCTGGGAAATATGCAAAACTTATCCACATATATGTCTTCAGTGAAGAACCAGAAACTACCTAAATATCCAAGAACAGGTCGACTGAACTGTCTAAAGTATATTCACATGATGCAGCAGTGACAGCTGGAACATACACCACAGAATTATGATACAAAAAAACCAGTCATTTAAACAGCTAAAAACACAAGACCATGGGGCTGGTGAGATGGTTCAGGGGTTAAGAGCACTGACTATTCCTCCAGAGGACCTAGGTTCAATTCCCAGCACCCACTTGGCAGCTCGCAGCTGTCTGTAACTCCAGTTCAAGAGAATCTGGCATCGTTATACCAATGCACATGAAATAAAGTTAAAAAAAATCATACTATATTTAAAAAAATTTAAAAAAAAACCACAAGGCCAACCATGATACTTGAAGACCAACAGGATGTAGCTAAGTAGTAGGATGCTTGGCAAGCATGCTTGGGATTCTGATCTTCAGTCCTGGTGCCACAAGTCCTAAATCAACTAATCTCTCTCCCCTCCCCAAACACACACACCTCCATCAAAATGATGAAAAGCACATTCATGGTATATGTGCAGAAAAAGCATGCAAGATGTCGTAAACCAACTTGTTAATACCGGTTCTCCCTAAGTGCCGAGATGAAAGTCTTCTTCATGTTTTCTAAAACTTCTAGAGCTAATATGCCTCCCACCCGCACGTCCTGATGTCCCCACAGCACACCTGCAGATTGGTGGCCTCCCACCCGCACGTCCTGATGTCCCCACAGCACACCTGCAGATTGGTGGCCTCCTCAGCCCACCAGACTTCGAACTCTTTCTGCAGCTTCACCTTGGCTTTGTCCATGAGCAGCTGCAGGTGCTCAATCTCCACCTTCAAGGCTTTCAGGCGCATGAATGTTGTTTTGTACCTACAGTGGAATCAGAGAAGCTGCAGGGCGCTGATGGCCTGAAGTCACCAGCATGGGAGTGCTGTAGATGAAGGTTTATGCCTTAGAAGCCCGGCAGAGCTGCCCTGGTACTAGAAATTGGCACCAAGGCTAGAACATGGCACCAGGTGTTGAGTTTATCAGGGAGATCAGGGTGGGTCATCTTTTTTCCAGTAGGCACTCGGGGATTTTCTCCAAGAATGAGAACTCCCTTTCATTGCACATGTACTCAGGACAGGTGTGGCAGTTGGTCCTCACTGTCACCTAGGAGACATGTGTTTCCTGAGAGCTTTACCTGAGCAGGGCTGATGTACTCTGAGCACAGGCAGCACCAGCACTGACTTGAAGTCTGGATGGAATAAAAGGATCAGGCAAGCTGAGTATCGGCATCCATCTTTGCTCTCTCACTATGGAGTGGTGTGACATGCCTTCCTTGCCAGGACGGATGGCACCCTTAGGCCATTAGCAGAAACAAACTCCTCTTTCCGTGCAGTTGCTTTTCTACAGCAGTGGCAGAAGCACTGGCACACCGAGGGTCAGAGGGACAGCTGAGGAGAACGCCAATGGCACGTGTGGAAGACACACGGGTGCAGGTAACACTTGAGACTTTGCTGGGAAGCTGCAAGGGAGTGAGGTGCTGGGGGTTGGCTTTGCTCAGAAGAGTGTGTATCTATGTGTGTGTTCATTTGTGCCTGTGTACATGTGTGCGCTTATGTGCCTGTGTTGAATGTGTGCGCTTGTGTGCCTATGTTGTATGTGTGCATGTATGCATGTGTTTGTGTGTGTATGTGTGTGTGCATGTGTGTGTATGTGTGTGTGTATGTGTGCGTGCATGAGTGTGGGCCTGCATTTGCATGTGCTGGGGGACTCCTGCAGCAATGCCATCAGTAGCTGCAGGCAGGAAGGTGATTTGGTCAGGACTTCCAGATCTCAGCCATGGCATGGAGGATAAAAGAATGAAGGAGCCTAACCAGGGAAATATACATCTCCTCACCCTGTAAGGAAAATCACTTTGGGCCCCTCGGTATCTGGGTGAAGGCCGGAGGTTCCCAAGACCCTGGGTAAACTTTGGTAAAGCTGTGGAGTAAAGCCCACCATGGGCCTGCTTCATGGTTTCCCTAGAGCAGTGGTTCTCAACCTTCCTGACGTTGAGACCCTTTAGTATAGTTCCTCATGCTGTGTTGTTGCTAATGTAAATGACTGGAATGCAGGCTGTCTGATCTGTGATCCCTGTGGGGTCACAGCCGACAGGATGAGAAGCATTTGGATGGGGCGCTTCCTTATTCAGCATCCTCCCTACCCCGGCCCAGGCCTTGCTTAGGCTACTCCTTGCCCCTCCTGCGTTTGAGGTTCCAGGCTGGACCCATTTCCTAAGGGGAAGGTAGGACCTGGAGGTCCTGGGGGGTTGGGGTCAGGATGGGTGTGGTAACAAACACACAGAAACAAGCGGCAGCTCACCTGGTCTTTTCCTCTTCCAGCTGTGATCGCAGTTTCTCTTCCTGGAGGTCAGGTATGGAGGGTGGGGCCATATTCTCTGAGATTCCTGGAGGAGGAAGACGCCAGTGAGTTATGGCAACAAAGAAAGTAGGAAATATGTGGTGGGACCAGTAACAGAGTTCAAGGGCATCCAAAGTCGAAGGGGTCCTGGGAGTTCCTTCAGGGGCCTCTGGGTGGCAGCCTTGGCTTGGCTTTAGAACCACCTCCTCGGTCACTGCAGGGGACCGTCCCACCTCCCCTTTTCTTCCCTGCACTCCTGACCTCTGGGGTCCCCAGGGAAGAGGCGCCCGCATGCCCGCATTGGAGAAGGAACCCTTTCCAGACGGAGAAGAGCTCCCCGTGCCTGCTCCCGCCAACTGTTCTCCACCTCCATAGAAGGTCGAGGTTTTCAGGCTCATCTCTGGAGGTGATAAGAGTTTGTATCCTCTGTGTCCAGAGACAGAGCCAGTGTCCAGGCCTGGGGTAGTCTCAGCTCTTCAGTGGGACTGGCTGGTGGCTGTGACCTACCTATATGCTGACTCCTCTGTGTGGGTACCTGGCTGTAGCTGGGATCCCCAGGTACCCTCCTAGCTCATCTGCTGAACCTCTGGTGGATGAGGGCTGTATGCCACTGGGCAGTGCTTCTTAGTCAAGGCAGAGACACCACAAAGCCCAGCCAAGTGAAGCCCTCTCCTGCCTCCCTCTCCCTCCCCAGCTCCACCCCTGCACTCCAGCTCATGGCCCCCCACCTCCCTCCCCACAGAGTAAAGGTGCCAAACCTTCCCCCAAGAATAAAGGCCCTCCCTGCCACAGAATGAAGATCTCTCCCTCCCCCAATCCTGCTGTATCACCTCACCAACAAATCCTGTCCTCCAGTCCATTCGATCCCTGAACAAGATCAGACTTGATTCTGATGGCAGTTATTTAAGGCAGCATCACCCCTCCCTTACTGATGAGACTTAAGGAGGTTAATCTGTCAAGTCCTGTGGCTAACTTCCAGATCCTGGGTGTGGATCCCCATTTGTGTGGGTGCCAGGGTCCTGGGTTCAAATCTCCTTCTAGAACATTTTATTCAATTATTATCATTGTATTATTATTATTATGTGTGGGAAGTACATATGTGTCATGGCATACATATAGAGGTGAGGAAACTTTATGGAGTGGATTTTCACCCTCCACTTTAAACCATGTTTCAGGGATTAAACTGAGGCTTGTGTATGAAATGCCATCTTGTCAACTTAACATTTCTGGGAGAAGACCATTTGCTTTCTGTTGCAGTGGCTGGCAGCTGCATACGAAGACATGTTTCATAGGGCCCAGCTATTTCCACCAACTTTGTTCCCACTCATGTCTCCTTTCACCACTCATGTCTCCTTTCATCTCCCATCCCTGCACGGGCTTGCTGGAGCAGCATAGGACGTCTTTTCTACTTTGAGGGTCCTTTAAAGACTCAACAACACCACACACGAGTCTGGGGTCTCATTCACAGGCTGGCCCACCCATTTCCTCGCATGGAGGTTCAGAGACCTTGTTATTGCCTAATTATCTCATTTAAAAAGCAGAGACCTGGCCTGGAGAGATGGCTCAGTGGTTAAGAGCATTGCCTGCTCTTCCAAAGGTCCTGAGTTCAATTCCCAGCAACCACATGGTGGCTCACAACCATCTGTAATGAGGTCTGGTGCCCTCTTCTGTCCTGGAGACATACACACAGACAGAATATTGTATACATAACAAATAAATATTTAAAAAAAATAACTTGGAGGTTCACATTTAAAAAAAAGAGAGAGACCTGGTCTAACATGTCATCTAGGGCGAGCGGTACAGGGAGGAAGGGGCTCCTTCCAGCTGTTAAATACACAATTCAGGCCAGGGAGATGGCTCTGTGGGTAGTACACTTGCCAAGAAGGCAAAAGGACCCGAGTTTGACTCCCCCATAGGCATGGAAAGCTGGCGCCATAGTGGGCATCCTGGGGTAAGATGGAAACTGAAGGCGGAGTCGCTGGAGGCTCACTGTCCAGCCAGCCTGGCATCCACCACAGCGAATGGAGGCTCACTGTCCAGCCAGTCTGGTATCTACAGAAGTGAATGACAAAAAGAGGGGCCTTGTCTCAAACAAGGCAGAAGGCCCGGAAGCTCAAGTTTGCCTCTAACCTCCACCCTCATGTGTGTGGCACAGCATGTGCACCCACCCACATTTGTACCTGCACACACACACACACACACACACAGAGAGAGAGAGAGAGAGAGAGAGAGAGAGAGAGAGAGAGAGAGAGAGAGAGAATGTTCTCAGTTGGATGTGGTGGCTCACCCTTGTAATCCATCATTTGGAGGCTGAGGCAGAAGGATTTAAGTTTGAGGTCATCCCAGGCTTCATATTGAGAGTCAAACCAGCTGGGGCTATAGGAGACCCTGGGTCAAACAAACTCACCCTCCAGAAACCCCAAGTAATTCACAGTCTACTTCTTTAGCAGGTCAGTTACTAATGCTAGCCACTTATTGAATGCCCTCTCTCTGAAATGCTCTTCCAGGTTCACTAGGCGCATGGCAGGCCCTCTATGCACCACCAAGTCCTTAGAATAGTCAGGCACAGAAGGCAGTACCAACACATAGCAGTTAGACTTCTTGTCCCGGGGCTCCATAAACAGCGCAGGCCAAACAGCTAGGAAGGGACAAAGCTGAGGTGTGGACCGAGGCAAGTGTTTGTGCAGCTCTCTCCATCCTGGTCTGCGTGGCTCTCTGTTAAGACTGTGGTTAGTCAAAAGCCTTCTGTGCTTTTCACAAGTGGTGGCCCCAGTGTACCCTGCCCTGGTGGGGTGACACTTGGGTCCCCACTTACGGGGACTCTGGCCCCCCGTCTGTCTGCTGAGCTCTGCTCTCCTCTTTCCCTCCTCACTGCTTCATTGCTGCATGGACACATATGCTGAGTGGTCACTAGTCTGTCTTTTATCTTTGCAAAACCAACTACCCTCTCTTCCCTGCACTAGGCAAGCAGGTGTCTTCTGTCATCAGCTGAAGATGACGCTCTCATCCTGCGGGGGCATTTTATCAGCCTTATGAGGCAGAATGCTGGTCTTCATTACCCATGATCCTCCCTGGCCTCCAGGTCACAGGCACAGGGAGCTTGAGAGCTGGTGAGTGGAGCCCTTCTCTTTTCTGCGTCTCTCCCTGGAGTCCTGTCTAGATGCTGTGCACAGGACACACTGGATTCCGGGTTTATTTGATGTCCGTCTTTGAAAAACAGCAGATGTGAAACACAGAAGGTGGTGTATTAACACTAAAGGACAGTGGGCCTTGAAATGGTCAGGGCACTTCCTTCCCCAATAGTTCTGGGCCCATCTGTCTTGCGACCTGCTGACACAGAACTCTGCCTCATCTTCCTCATCTTCCTCTTAACGCCTTTGACCAAGGGCAGACCAAGGGCACAGAGGGATTGACGACAGCCTGCTCTGGAGTGACAGCTGGGGTACTGGGGCCAGCAGAGAGGCTGCAGATGAAGGGTGACTGGAGGGCTCTGGTTTTTATGGGAGGCAGCGTCCAGGACTGTGAGGGTGACACAGGACCTGAAGGGGACTCAGTCCCAGCATGTGTTCACGGCCCTCTTGCAGGAGGCAGGCTCCTGCCTTACTCCAGGGTGTGTGGAGGTTTCTGTGGGCGCACTGCAGGTGTATGAGATGTCCAGCAGCTACAGGTCCAGGCGATCATTCGTAATGTGTCTGACACAGAACAGAAGGCTAACGTCAGCTACTGCTGGTGCAGCCCTGGGGGCCAGGTCAGTGTGTGCCACCTCGTTCATTATCTTCACCACAGCGGGTTCTGTTCCTCTACTGAGTGGACTAAGGACCAGCATGGCTAGGGGAAGTGTGCAATGCCACGGGGCTCCCTAGGATCTCTGGTCCTTCCTTCACTGGTTTAACAAATGTTTCTGGACATACATACACACACACACAGTGTGTGTGTGTGTGTGTGTGTGTGTGTGTGTGTTCCATGGTGTGCATGTGAAAAAGGTCGGGGACAGTCTGTAGTGTCAGTGTTTCACCTTGTTAGATTTACACACAGCAAGTGCCATTACTTACAGAGATCTATCACTAGCCCCTCAAGAAATGTTCATTTAGCATTGGCAGTGGTCCTGCCCCATTCCAGAAGGATTAATTTTAGTGCTGAAGATGAACCTCATTCAACAACAACAAAATTAGGTCTGCAGTATAATAGGTTGGAAGACAAAACTGGACAAAAATACGGAGTGTGTGGAGTGATGTCTTGGTTAGCTGCTTGGCGGAGGGGATAGGAGGGCAGAGACCCGCAGAAACTAGGAGTCCGAGAAGCATGTGAAGGGCTTGGTGAGCCTACTTGGTGCCTATGAGGGGCAATGAGAAAGCCTGTGTGTCTGGAGGAGTGGGTAAGGCAAGGGGCAGCAGGAGCCGAGGTCAGTGAGGAAACCGAGCTAGAGTGCTTGGTCCCACAGGCGATGTAAGGACGCTGGCACTGAGACCCATGGGGAGCCGGGAGAATCACAGTGGGCTGGGTGGCTTGATTTAGTCCCTCACAGCTGATCTGAGACAAAGCTGTTCTGCAGCGAGGAGCAGCTAATGTGGGGCGGTGCCAGGTTCTCTAAACTTGTTGAAAAGGTCTGGGAAAGAGGCTGGGACGAGGGACCTCGGGCGGCTGGGATGAAGGCACAGTGTCCCTGAGACACAAGCTACCCACATTGTCCCAGATGGGCTTGAGGCCAAAGTTGATGTTTGTTTTGTAGACTGCATTGTGACCCAGCAGGAGACGGGAGACAGCCTCTGTGAAAAGGAGCCTGGACTGAGAAGTCAAGCAGAAGCAAGCACAACAGACAAGCAAGGACGGAGGGGGAATAGAAAAGACATTTGGGCTTGTAGGTCTTTGTTCCCACTGGGCCCTGGCATGGACAGAACCCCCCAGCCACCTAAGAGGGTAGGGGTTTTCTTTCAAAGACAGGATTCTGGCTGGGACAGCAGCACAGGAGGGGTTATCCCTGAGTGACCTGTGAGGTCACAGTACTGAGCAGTCAGCTCCAAAGCAATACAAAAAAAGCAAGAAAAA